GCTGGGTGAGCAAGTTTATGGTTTTATTAACGTGTGGATTCTCAGCTTACATCTCTCTAGATATTGAGTATTGCGTTCGAATTTGCGGAATATTCTCTGCAGCACCAGCTCGCCAACTTCGCCGAATGTTGGTGGGACCATTGGGTCCTTGATGTTCTCATCTGTAACTGGCTCGGAACCTATATTGGAATGAAGACGTGCCAGTACCTTGAAGTGAAGCACTTCTCCTGGAGAGACGTCAGACCGTTCTCTTTCGCCACCAGCCGCAAATTCTCATTCCGGAAGAGGAGGAATGTCTCTGTGGATGAACCTGAAGGTATCGAAGGACATACACGAGGCGCATCGATTGACGAGATCAATGTCCCGGCCAAACCCGCAACTCCTAAAAAGACCAAGAGGCCAGGCGCGATCAGGCGCAATACGAAGAGGATGCTTAAGCAGTTCTCCCCTCATGACTTTACAGCTTTTGAGTGGGGTGGTACCACATCCTTCACTGCCTATTTCACCGTTGTGCTACTATTGTCTGTCTTCTTGGCAGCAGAGCTCAATCCTTTCTACCTCAAGTTCCTACTGTGGATGGAGCCATCTCATCCGTTTGTGATTGCCAGATTGGTTGGTGTCTTCCTATGCGGTCTCCCGGCAGTAAGAGAACTATATCAATACATGAATGACTCGAGGTATGCATTCCACTTTGTGCTCATTTCCTAGCAGCTAAAATTATATACAGACGTGCCGTAAGAATGGGACAACATGTTTGGCTCCTTCTCGCTACCATTATTACCGAATTACTCGTGATTATTAAGTGGAGCCAAGGGATCTTTACGGAGCCTATGCCTGGATATATCAAAGTATTCTTGTCAACGCTCGCAGTCTTGCTCATTGCCTATCCAGCTGGAAAGGTTAGTTTTTTGTCAATGTCAATCAGAATCAATGCTGACCGACCCAATAGTTCGGAGTGCCGGAGGCAAGGAGATATCTCTTGCGACACAAAAGAAAAAGTATCAAGACCCAATAGCCCTAATTCTAGGGAGAAAGAGACTAGCGATGACTTTTCTGTGTTTTCTCTTCGGCTTTTAATTTAGGGTGGCTCAAAGCCTTGTGTACCTGTTCATATTATTTTTTCAAATTGATGAAGCAGTCATGTTTGAATGTTACCTCTAATGGGTCAATAAGGAATGCACTCTCAAATTGCTTTGTTATTTTCTATGAACATTTGACGCCTCCCTCCTTGGACCCTGCGTCTACTTTGAATAAACCTTGTGACGCCCTGTCAATTGGTATTGGGATAGAGGGGCTATATCAGAAGCAGAATGTCAAGTCATATAACCAGATTGTTTGAATCCAGCGCAGCCCGTTCTCTAGCTGGAGTAGACAATGACGACCGCATCCTCGCAAAAGCGATACCCTAAAGCTAAAACCACTATTCTACCATGTTTGGTCAGCTCACACTGTAATTACAGCTCAAGCTGCCTTTGGCATAGACGTGGTGAGGAGAATAGAGAGTTCATTCGATCCTTTCATTGCCACGCCAAGGAAAGTCGTTGTGGGTAAGTGCGAATTTCTCCCATCTATCGATATACTTTTGTTTTCTGAGCAAGATCTTATCAGATAACCGTTCGAGATCGGTTTGGGTCCTCCCGAGGCAGCTTTCTATAATTATCAACCATTCATAACTCCTCCCAACGGAAACACAATACCTGATATGGTGTTTTTAATTTTCTCCTGATTCCATGAAGACTCCTGAGCGTGCTTGCGTCTCAGCCCGCTCAGACCCGACCGAGTAGGAACGTGGAAACTAGTTATCAACGTTACGATATACTACGGGAATGATGGATATGAATATGAAGCAAGCGACATGTCAAGTAGTAAAGTGTGTATTTCGCCCCCTTTCACTCGTACGTGTCAAGATCCCCTCACTGGCCAGTCCTCTAACGTGCTCGTTTGGTCGATAGGTGAAATAGGCATGACTACTCCAATCAACGTGCAATTAGTAGATGGAAGTGATGGCTCCCCTATGGCGGAAGAACCAACTCCGACCCAAGTCCAGTATAATGACACCGTCACTGGATCACCATTTGAAACCACTATGACGGTCACAGGGTCTCAGACCGTTACAAATGTTCCTCGTAGTTCAGGTAAGGAGCAAATCAGTAGAACGCTATTCAGTTCACCCTATTGGGGATGATTGTCTTCTTGCTGGCCGCCTCATGATGGGTCCTATACACGATCACAATAGGACCGAAGCTGATAGTTATAATGAAATCCATATATCTATTCGTCTGTGATATCCATATTTTATACCTACAACAGGCAAATTGCAAGGATTTCGAAACTGTTACAGGGTTAGACGACCATGATTGGCGGCTAGTTCACTGAATTCCTACAATTTAAGCATTTTAGGACATCTATTACGACGAGGACCATCTAATGCAGTAGGACTGCCTCCCGGGCCTCGGTATGAGTAGCGCTTCTACGGGCATGCATGAAGCCTTTGGATGTAAAGCACTGCAAATGAGAAACAGTCGAATAATGTACTAGGGCCTCAGTTCTTATAGATTCAATCGTATCTGAACCAGGTAAGATAGGCGCCAGTTCCGAAATCTACGGTAAAATGGCTATGTATCCGTGGTGTGTTCTATTGTCGAACCCAGTGCGATATCGGGGCGCCCTCTTGTACGGAAATGGAAGTTTATGTCGGAATTGGATCCGATGAGAGAGTACTTAAAACGATGAGTACCTGGTAGGGTGTTCAGGACCACCCCCTATTTTGCCCTCTCGAAACAATTTTCATCAAACCACCTTCTTGGAAGCGACATTATATCATGTTCAACCTATTCAAGTTATTGTGTGCAGTGTCTCTTGTCGAAGTGATTGTTAGTGCGGGTACAGTAGTGAAGAGAGCTCAGAGTCCACTCGATCCCCTTTTGAGCATGCCCTCTCAAGCTTCAGTCGGTGAGTCTTCTTACTTGATATATTGAATTCAAATCATACTCAAGTCTCGATTGGTGCTCGGTACTTAATACTTGACTAGGACAACCTTTCGAGATCCAGTTCCATGTGCCCAACAACGCATTCTACGAATATAAAATCCTAGTGACGCCTCCCAATGGTCCCCAGAGTTCCAATCTAAAATTCTCCAATTTCCTTCTACCTGAAGCACCAATGGAACGATTTTGTATTCCATTTTCGACTGTTACTTCCAACTCCAGTGGGTCGGCTACACCGGATTCATCCGGAATTTGGCAGGTGGCTATTGAAGCTACTATATACTACGGAAAGAATGGCTACGAATACCAGGCGAACAATACGTCGGGTGGGGACGTTTGCGTGTCCCCTCCATTCAGCAGCAAGTGTCACCACCGAATTTCTGTTGATGTGGTATACTGAATTTAGTTTTTCGCTTCTTACAGGTGAGAAATCATTCACTGTACCAGTTCAAGTGCAGGTTGTAGATTCATCTACACCCCTGAACCCAGCTTCGACAGTGGTACCTGATCCAACAGAGGTCGAATTCAACGCAACTGTAACCGGGACTCCATTCGAAACTACACGTACCTTTGACGGGTCTCAAACGACTACTCAACTGCCACCCAATTCTAGCTCCCAGAGTTGGGGGGAGGTCGTAATTGACCGAAGGTGGTCCTTGAGAATCACCCTGGGTAGCTTGATACTATCACTCATAATAGTATGAGATTGAATTCACGTCTCTATAATCGCATTATTACTCTTAGTTTAGAATTATGGGCGGAATATTTCCATGCATCGCTGTAGCATGGCTCGGGGGTGTCATGTGGCAGGGAGGCAACCAACTCTTTCCTTCTCCCTCTCTTACTAGCAGAATAATCTCTCTCATAATATAATCACATTGGCATCAAAACAACCTTTTCAATCAAATTTAAAGCGCATAGCAGACCTATTCGGTATGTGAATAAACTGAACTGACTTTCTTGGATGCTGTGTAGTAGTGGAAGCTCCTCTCGGTCATTCAACAATCCAGCATACATCGCTCCTCTGTTGAATCAGGAGAACCTGAGCTTCATCATTCGAAGCGCACTACTGCATGTGTTTTGAAGCCCCACCAAGTATCAACAATGAAGCCGGTAAGTCGTCCAAGTGTACACTTCGAATTACTAACCCTTTCCCCTTAATAGATCACGAATAAAGCAAGATATGGCCCCAAATTCGAATCCAGCTGGTTGACCATGTGCTGTCAAGCGATTCAAAAGGGAACTCTAGAATAAATTGCTTCATGGATGATACAATAGCCCTCTTCACAAATTGGCGTAGGTCGTCTATTTAAACTAGGAAATTTCGTAGCAAATTGCATCCGTCTCTATCATTCCTTTCTTACCAAGCGGCCTTCAAGCGACAACTTTACTCCTTTCGAGGAAGCCCGCGACATGTTTGGCCTTTACACGTTGATCTTGGGGGCAATTATGGCCCGTTCGGTCCTCGGTGTCGCCTTATTAAAACGAGCGCAGAGTCCACTTGACCCCTTTTTGAGTGGACCTTCTCAAGCTCTGGTGGGTGGGTGCTTTCCTTGGCATGGGCAGCTTGGATATTATCTTACTGAACATTTGGTCAGGCAAACGTATCCCAATTAGATATATCGTACCGAACGTATTTTACTACTACGAATTCTTCCTAAATGCCCCTAATGGAACCCGGCTGCTCTACATGGAAGAATTCAACTTTCTCACTCCACAGCTAGAAGTCCCGACGGAGCGTGTTTGCATTACGATAAGGGACTCGCCTGTCAATACCACCACGTTACCGTTACTTGATCAAGCAGGGACCTGGCAAGTCGGCCTCAGCGCTCATTATTATTATGGATCAAACGTGTATGAGTACGAGACGGGTGATACATCGAATGGCAAGGCGTGCATATCTCCCCCATACACAAGTGAGTTTAAACATACGAAACTCTATGTTCCATAGAAATCTGGCGTTGATTTTTGCCTTCAGATGAAACGGCTACAGTTATTCCAATTACGGTGCAAGTTATGAACATATCTGTAGACTTTACAGCGACTCAAGCTCCGGAACCAACAAGGGTTGAATTTAACGAGACCATTACCGGGACTCCGTTTACTATTGCAAGCACCCAAACAAATGCCTCCTCAACACCCAGTTCTGGCCTCTCTAGTTCCCAGGGTGAAGCCAAGCTCGCCATAAATCGAAATTTAACTTGGGGCATTGTGGTAACCTTGGTTCTATTGCTCGTGCTCTCCTAGGGGTCATTCTATTCATTTAGTGTCGACGCGTCGCTTTTTACTTTCCATACACGAACTCAATTTATCGAGCCGAGTCTTTACACCCTTGACCTTTACGAGTTGCATAGATACTGTTGGCCAAATCGAGATTGATCGTGATATAACAATGCAACAGATTGAACAAGGTATACAGAATGATGATGGATGCATATAGTAAAAAAAGGAGTGTCCATGCATTTCAATGCATAACAAACAAAGTCATCACGAATATGCGATGCGAGCTATAAAATAGGGTCTGTGGGTGACATTGAATAAGGAGCGGAAGCGTTCGGTGAAATGAAAAAGTGGAAAGCGTAAGCAAGATCAGGGTGGCTATAACCACCAAAGACAAAAGCGAAAATGTCCCGATTAAGCGAGGAGGAATGAGAAGATGAGACCAATCATAGTTCCAGTCAAGGAGAGCGAAGGTCCAGAAAAGCTTAACAAAGCACCGGAAGAATGAGAATTGTTGTTGCCGGATGAGTTGTTATTACCGGAGGAAGAGCTGGTACTTCCATATTTTAATTTGATCATGTCGGCGGCTTGTTCAGCAAGTCCATAAGTAGGTGCCATCATGTGTGCGGCGAACTCGATTGGGAAGACGGACGAGTCGACGACACGGACGTTATCTTTTGAAGAAAATTAGTATGTGAAGTGCAGCGGGTGCTAAGATTGCATACCTAAGCCATGCACCTTCAAGTTGGCGTCAACGACACCACCCTTTTCTTTTGGAAGCATAGAGCAACTGCACGAGGGATGGTACTCGGTGTGGAAATCATTGAGGATCCATGCGTCCCATTCCTCGTCTGTTGTGACGTTAGCACCGGGCGACAATTCGCCAGTGATCACGTTCTTGATGGGTTCTGTCTGTCCGACAGTACGGGCCAACTTCAATCCTTCACGTAACATGATAAGGTCTATAGAATTGATTAGAACCGATTCTTCTGGATAAATGGGGCATTTCTTACCGGAAGGGTGAGCCATATAGTGTGGGTCAATCACTGGTGCGTCCAAGGGGTTGGAAGAGTTGATGTACAATCTTCCGTGACTGTATAAACGCAAATTTAGCGAGAAATCTTCCTCATACAAATCAGTCACCCTCACCTGAATGGCCTCTGCAAGGCTGCTTGGACAGAGATCGTGTCCTTTCCAAAGGCAGTTCCCATCAAAGCCAACAACAATTCGACTTGGCCAGAGGAAGATGGGAGAAGCTTGTTGGCCGCGATATCATAAACTGCCTTATAACCAGCGATAATAGCGTCGTCTGTGGAGGGAAGTGACGAGACTGCAGCGTCCAAATGTCCAAGAACCTCGTCACGGAAAGCGGATGCGTCACCGACAAGTTCACTAGTACTGACATAGGCGATTGCATCGTTGACATAGGAAAGGAACTCGGGAGTCTAGAAGCCAAGGTTAGCGAATCTATATATGGGTGGCTCATATCCACGTACGTTTGCACGGGCATCGTCAGCGTTGGAATGAACAAAGCCTGCAGTTTCTGTCGTAGTGCTGAAGACGACTTGAGAAGCCTAAGAAGGTCGTTAGCAAATCGTGATGCAAGGCTAATTGTCATTGCCTACCAAATGGTCTTGGAGATGTTGTCCGACACCAGGGAGTTCAACAACTAGTACAATCTTAGCATTGATCGCCGAGCACACATCAAGCTACTCACTTGTGCTGACACCAGCACCGTCCAACACGTCCTTTGGGCCAACACCGCTCCTCATCAAGGTCGCGGGACTTCCAATAGGACCAGCGCTTAGGACGACTTCCTTCTTGACACCAACACTCTTGCCCTCACCATACTCGACACCGGTAGCCTTGGTACCATCGAAGGCGATCTTGGTGACGACTGCGTCGGTAAGGATGTGCAGGTTGGGGCGGTAGTAAGGGTCGATGTAGGCCGTCTTGGAGTAGGAGCGTGTCCAGTTGGTCGGGTTGATCGTCGAGGTCGTCACGAATGCGCCAGAACCGTCACCGTCGGAGGGGTCTGTGGAGGTGTGGATACCCATGTTGCCGAGGGTAGCTGTCCATGATCCAATGACTTCGGGGAGACTGTTTTAGAGGAGGAGGAAGGTAGGTGAGACGGGGTCGGTGGTAAAATGGGGGTTGGAGGGGGAATACGTACTAGGCTGGGTAGCTGGCGTGGAGGGGACCGGAGGAACCATGAGAGTTGGCTACATATTGGATATTTCCTCTGGTTTGGATATCAGAGGAGGGAGGGGTGAATGTCTCCGACTGATGATTCACATGCGAGAAAAAGGAGTCAGCTCACAAACCCTCACCCGAGGAAAAGGGGAGGAAAGGGTAGGAAGGGAGGATGGGGGAAAGGGAAGATGGAAGGGATGAGGAGGCTCACCTTGTCCATGGCAGCGAAAAACTTTTCGGCGGTCCAGTTGTCTGCACCGTCCATTCCGTTGATCAAGTCGTGCCATGCCTCGACCTCAACAGCACTCGGTCGGACTAGGTAGCACCCGTTGAGAGCAGACGAACCGCCTAGCATCTTGCCGCCTGGCCAGTTCATCACGCGGTTGTTTGCGTTGCTCTGGGGCTCCGACTTCCATTGCCAGTCGTGGGTACTTCCAACGAGACCCTGGTAGTATGCCAGACCGGGATGGGCTTTCCATGCAGAAAAAAGAAGGGGAGGAGTGTCAGAGAAGGGATGGAAAAAAGGAGTGGGGGGAAATTGGAGGGGTGTTACTTACAGATGGTGTCGATAACATCGTCGCCTGTGCCGCCTGCTTCAAGCACCAAAATTGTCGTAGAGGAGTCTTCAGACAGTCTGGATCCGAGCACCAGACCTGCCAATCCACCACCAACGATCACAAAGTCGTAGCTATCTGTAAATGGCGAGGGTGTCAGTTTTCCGTTTGGGTCGGGTGTTAAGAGAGAGAAAAAAGCGCACCAGAAATGTCAGAGGGGTTGATCATGGACCTCGACATCAGACGACCATAGTCCAAAGCGACCGCACGGGCAGCTTGTGAGCCACAAAGCAGGACGATTGAACTCAGAGAGAGCCATTTTGAGGTATTTCGGAGAGTGGAGAAAACCATTCGGGGGGAGTAGGGAGTAAGATGGGGAAAGAGGGTAAAAAGGTAAAGGGGGTATTAGAAGGGGGTAGTGAAGATAGGTTGGATTACAAGAATCCTAAAGTTGCAAGTGCGTTCAAGTTGATTTGTTTCGTTCGATGGGGAGAAACCCTGAGTCGTGTGTGAGCTGCCCTTATATATGCGCATAGTGGCCGCCCGCCCTTGCCCAAGAACACCAGGACCTTTGCCGCTCCAATGATCTGAATTTCACGAGTAGGGGCCAGGCTCGCCGCAAACGTAAACGGCTCAACAGTTCATCTCCACAAAGTTGAGCCGACCTCTTGTCCTTCCGGCTGATGCTACACTTCTATAGCACAGGCCAAATCTGCACCGCATTTCTTCGGAAACGGGGCTAGAACTAATTCTTTTATCGGGGAGACGTAAGGGCTAGACGATCCGACACACGGCCGTCACTACGCCGGTCACACGCGTACGCATGCATACAACTCTCCTCTGTTGTTCTGTTGGGGTAAAAGAACCAAGGAGAGTGGATTTGAATGTAACCGCAGAAAACCCGTATTGGGACAGTTGGTAAATCGAAAATCGAGAAAGATGACCAACAGGCGAGATTGGAGCCTTGGCCCAAGACCGCCCGCCTGGACCACCCTCGACCACTCGACGCGGACACACGGCTCCTCCATGGTCGAGTAGAAAAAACAATTTCTCAGAAAAGAACCATGATATTAGTCAATAACCAAGACCTGAAAAGTGAAAAAGTCGTTTGGACTTCTCAAGTACAGAAATTTGTGGGTCCTTGACACACCAAGTTGTCAAAGCCTACATACGCCGTATGTAGTCTATTTGGCTATTTATATCAGTAGCAGATTCTTTTCTAGATTTGTGATTCAAATTTCTTGTACCACTGTGGTGAAATGCGTCATGTGGAACGTTAAGGAGAAAGGACGAGTTTCACTCCTTGACACACCCACATTTACGTTGTCCGGAGGGTCGGGTATATCAGAAAACCAGATATATAAGTGTTAATATATTTCAATATATATGGGCCGTCATTTATTGGTTTAAATGGAGGAAATTGGCGCAGACTCGAGAACCTGTTGGTTGGTCCCTCGTCAGTGGCTGGTAGAAATGAAGTCTCTTGGGAGACTGAAAAGCTAGCCATATGGTATTATTCACTCTGATATAGATCTTTCTTGCGACAATCTTGTCCGAACTGAAGAGGTCAAGCTTCAGGGTACGTTCCACGTCGACCTTGTGCATGAGTGAAGGATTACTATGTTGATTAACCTCTTTCCATCTCATATATCTCTATTAGTAGTTGTATTAGATGAAATTGAATCTAAAAACACAGGTCGCGGTACTCAGAGTGTTCAGATGAGAGTTGTTGTATTTTTTTTGACTAAATCGACCTCTTGAGCCTGTCCTACCCACCGTTGTACCCTCTTTCAGGCTCAGCTACTTCTAAAAGCTATATAATAATGTAGATATATATATTAGAAAGATTTGAGCGGAGCAGCGTGCATTTCAGTTGCCATTTGGGCGTGGTATATGGGTTTGTGTCAAGGAGCAACAAATTCCTGTAGAGAATCTTAATTAAAAAACACTTCCCCTCGTCTACAGGAGAATCAACTTGTCGTTAGAGGATTTCAACCCTGAGTGGTTAATATTCAATGGGTCGGGGGTGAGCTAATGTTCCTCAGTCCTTAAAACCGATATGTGTAAGCTGAAACTCGGTTTGAAACTTGAGTAGACGCACGATTAGGACAGTATGAGCGGCGTTACTTGTTGAATCTCGTAGTTTATCCAAGCTTAATTAATAATAGAACTGGTCTATTCTCTCACAGCGTCCTGTAGCAAAGCTCTCCGTGGCGAGGAGAGGAACACCAAACACGAAGCTTACTCAAAAAGCAGATTTTATACCTTCGGGCAGTTCCTGACCGAGATGAACGACTCATCCGACAATCTAATGCAGGATGCTTTCTTTTCTTAATTAATAAACAGGCCAACCCTTCGAACAACAGGTGTACACTAGCTCAGGAAGCAACAACTAAACAGAGTGCAACTTACAATCATAGTGGAACAGTGCAGGAATGTATCAGAATAATAACAAGATGCTCAGTAGAGATTAGAACTCTGTCGAGTATAGAGGAGATGACAGTGTGGGAAATAAAGTGGTTGATTGGGTCATAGGTTGCCAGAGGGCTCGTACAGGAGCCACGAAGTGACTAGTAGGCGAAATAGGGCTGGAGAGTAGGGGAATAGGGATAAGGAGAGCATGATAGTGTACGTACGAGGCTGTCGGAGTTAGATTGGCCGTCTAATCAAATGCTTTATTTCATGCCATATAACGGTCGTGAATGAATCCAACCAGGACGTTCCGTATAATCATTCGAAGATTCGATCGACCATGAACCAATCATGCTCTTTTCTGATATGTTTCCCATCTTTTACTTCTCCATGCCGTAGAATAGATGTCCCATTGACGCCCTCCGGATAAGTGACAATACCCTCCCGACCGGCCCAGTCGAAATCGAGTAAAACGATATTTTTCGTTCCACTCGTTGATTCCCACCGATGGCGAGTCATCATATTAACGCCACGAATATCTCCGTGCACAAATCCGCGTCCATGCAGGGCTGTGACTATTTGACGAATTTCATTTTCCACATGGGGTTTATTATCCAAGTCAGGTTCCAAGGTGCGATAGTTTTCTGGGTCCAAATATTCCATAACGACCATGAACCACCCTCCCGGAAGTGTCTCAAACCCATAAAGAATAGGAGCGACGTTAACGCTGGCGCAAAACTGATGTGCATCGAGAGAATATTGTGTAGTGAACTTGATAAAAACTTTTATTCCTTCGGTGGTCGTACCATGGAATATCAGCTTTTTGTCGTCGAAGCGAGAATCATAAGTGAATTTGACTTTCTCTCCTTCGACTGTGTAGCTATCCGGATAGGGAAATGTCAGTCTAGTGGCTTGTTGAGACTTTTGAAAGTCGCTCAATCGATCGACGGCTGGCATGTCCTCATAATGTTTATAAAGTTGGTTATACGCGATCCTAAACGCCCCAAAGGCACGAGCTATCTGACTGCTCCTATAGTGGCTATTGATATGCAAAGCGAAAATGTCGGTCAGTGGCTCGAGTTGTAGACGATCAGTGACGACTGTGCCAGAAAATCCAACAATCGAACCTAATCTAATGTAAGCTAAAGATAATAAATAAATGCGTGGAAAACATACCAACAAAATAGATGATGATGCAGGGGAGGAGATCAAGTGGATCGTCGTGGCCCCGGAGTTTGGGCCGCAAAGCCTCGAGAACATAGGCTTTGGCCTGTACCTCGGGATCCCCGTTGCCACTCCAAGTCTTTCCCTCACATATTGCTAGAATATATGGGTGCTTCGGATGCATAGCATGTCCATCGCTTATGCGGTTCGTCGCGCCAATTGCAGCACGGAACAGTCGGATGCCGTAGTGCTTTACAATGAGCCCTACAAAGTTTTCGCATTGAAGTGTCTCATTTTCCCATACTTTGGGCATGGTCTCACGGAGTTCCCGTGCAAGTGCATTGTCCGCCTCGGTTGGTTGAAGCTCTTGGACATTCTGGCGAAACTCTGCAAATGTGGGATGAAGGAGGGCTAAGGGTATCACATTGTCATC